GGGGGGGGGGTGCCAGCCACTGTGTGCAAGCTTTCCCCGCCCCCCCCCCACCCCACCCCACACCTGGCGCTGTGGGGTGGAGCAGTGGGGGGACGCACGGAGACAGATTGGTGGGGAGACGCAAGGGGTTGGAGGTAGGCGGTGGCAGCACGGGCCGGTGGATGACAGCACTCCATCCCCTCCTGCTCCCCCTCCCCCATCATTCTTGACAGGCAGTTGGCTAATAATAAAAATAAAATCTTACAATACAGTGCTTATCCAACACGTTTTGCTTATCTCAAAGTCAGCTAGCTAGTATCATTTAATGTAACAGTAACAACAATAATCACCTATTCAAACTATCTGGGTCATATGTTTATTAATAGTGTATTACTTACTTTTTCAGTATAAGTACCAAATTAATATTGATGGCACAGTGGCTGCATACAGATTGCCTTACCTACTAGCAGGAAACAGTGTGGTGCTAAAACAAGACTCCATCTACTATGAACATTTTTATAACGAGCTGCAGCCATGGAAACACTACATTCCATTCAAAAGTGACCTGAGTGATCTACTGGAGAAACTACAGTGGGCAAAAGATCATGATGAGGAGGTATGCACATATTTAAATATTTAACAATGTTTCACAATATAAGTAAATAACCTAATTACATCTGTAGGTCTTCAGTGTCACATACTGTGTAGATGGACAAGCTAGATATATTTAGATTGTATGGTCCACTTCAGTCCTTGCTTTGAAAATTGATTTGATCTTATGAGAAATAGTTTTATTCACAACATAAAAAATTAAAGTTATTCTGGACAAGTCAGATTTCTTTCTCCTTGCCATATTATCAGTAATAAGTATTTGTTATACTATGAGCAACTCATCACAATGATACCTAGACACTTACTAACAAAATTGGAAGATTAATTATATAAACCTATCCACTGTAAATTGCATTTCAGAATTACCGTTGACCTCTCCAGAAATATTCCTATCTTGGGATTTTTTTTCTTTGATAGGTAAAGAATATTGCAGAATCTGGACAAGAATTTGCAAGAAATAATCTCATGGGAGATCACATATTCTGCTATTATTTCAAACTTTTCCAGGTTAGTTTATCTTTAAACTACTAAAAGAAAATTATGGGCGTGACGGGGCACAAATACTGGAATTGGCCACTCTAGAGAAGTTGCAAAGCAAACCAGAGCAATCAAGAATCTTAAGTAAATTACAGATAGAGCATGCAAGTTATGGCCTATAAGATCCCTTAAAACTAGATTGGCAGTTTAACAGAGGCATTTCAGTTCCCATAAATCTCAGCCTAATCTGAAATCTCAGCCCATATTCTCTACTGCAGTACTCAGCAGTGATCAAAGAGTTCAGAATCACACATGCCCCCTCCAAACCACAGCTGAAAATATCTGTGTATTAGCACTGAGATATTGACACATCCAGTGAGGCACCAAATGGTGTTCTTGTTTGTAGCAAAGTATCTCTATAATCTGTGACATGGTAGGAGGTTTTGAGAAATTGTTCGGCCATAGAGATACAACATGACTATTAATTTGAGGTGTGTATGCATCACAGTTGAATTCATAGGATAAGAATCCCTTTTCTTGAATTAGGCATATGCTATTTTACAAGTGAGTGAGCCAAAAATCAGAGATGGCATGGAGAAGGTGCAGCAGCCTGATGATGACCTCTTTCCATGTTCTTGTCACAGAAGGAAGGTACAGTATGTGCATGTCAAAGATCTGATCCTGCAGGGTGCTGAATGTTTTCAGTATTGTAGCTTGGCTACCATGTATCCAAGAATGGAACATGTACTGGGTCAAAGAGAGAGAGCAAGGAGTATGACACCACTCTAGATTCTAGTCCATCTTCCTAACACTAATTACTTTTTCAGATGACCATTTCATGTAAAAAACTAAAAGGGAATGTCCAGATAAGCACTCATGTGTGATATGCGGTGCTGCAGACACATCTGCAGCACCACATGTGTTGCACATGCAGACATTCCCCACACTGCTAATTTGCAGTGTGCGGGGTGGGGAAGAGTTTGACACTGGGAGATCCCAGTGACAGAAAAACCTGCAGTGGAAAAAAGCAGATTTGTGCACGTGGTGACAGCGTGTACCGTCTGAATCAGGATCCTGACCAGCCAGAGCCATGCTGGCCCCAGCCTCCCTTACCCCACCTCTACTTCAGAGTCAGGGCAGCCAGGATCTGGAACCAGCTTCAAAGGGAGGTGGTGCTGGCTCCTACCTTAGGGGTATTTAAAAGAAGGCTTGATAACTACCTAGCTGGGGTCATATGAGCTTAAACTTACCAGGGGTCATATAAGCCCAGTATTCATTCCTGCCCAGGGCAGGGAGTCAGACTTGATGATCTGCTCAGGTCCCTTCCGACCCTACATTTATGAACCTGGGGCAACATGCTGTGTACCAGAGCACACGTACATGGGCATTCCTTGGGGACAAGTAGCAGCAGTATATATTGTGCCACTGCTGTTTGTCCCCGGGGAACTGCCCGTGCCTGCACATCTGGATCTAGCTAAACTGTCCTTTAAGTAGGGACCAGAACTCATTCCTCTCACCCTCTCTGAACAAGTGAATCTTGCTTTATTGTGTACACAATGGCACAACTTCAAATGAAAGGGTAGAGAGGGCTCCCATCCATGTTGGTCTACAGCTCAGTATCTAGGGTACTCTCCTAGGAGGTGGGCTTGTACCCTTTCAGGATGAGAAGACAATTGAACCCAGGTCTCTCATTTTCTGCACTGATGCTTAAACACCGTTCTATTGTATAGAAGGTGGGCACAATTTCACTGTCTTCTTACTGCATCTATAAAGGAAAGAGGCCATGATGCTGAATTTTGTGACAAGCCTGAATCTGTTGGTGTCTCAAGCAGGCTTTGAATATGCTTATTCTACATCACGCACGTCAGGGAAGATGGTGTGGTGAGGGAGGGCGCTAGTTCGAGTACCCTGAATGGGCTTAAGAATGAGAGAACTACTAAGCTACTCACTCTGGCAGGAACATACAGCAGCACAACATGAGAACTTTATTGGCAAAATTGTGGCATCTATAGATATTCAGTTAGGCAATGAGAGTCACACGACTGGACCTAAGTATCTAAAAGGTAAGGCTTTAGCTTTATGTAGAACTGGGCGCAAGGTACCTGCACTTATCAACATACATTGGCCCATTAAAAACATAAAGAAGCTGCAAGGATTATTTTAATTGCTGCATTGACACTGACCAGGGAGGGCCTTGTGTTTTTGTTTTTTTTCAGTCACTGTACAGAGAAAGGATTAATGAATTAGAGCAAGAGATGAAAGACAATCTCAAACATTGAAACTGCAGTCATTAATATTTTTCCTTCTTAATTACAGGCCAAAGATGAGCTCTAACACGAAGAAATAATATTATTTGTGGAACATTTATTTACCCTCAGAATTCCTTCTTTAAAAAAAAAAAAAGAAAATGTTAATTACAATTTCAGAGGACAATACAAAACTTATTGTGCAATAGTCCACATTAGAAATACCTGTTTTCTTTTGTATCAAGCAATGTTAACAGAATTTGGGTTTTAAACATTTTTACAATTTTTTTTTAATAAAATCACTTTTATTTCAAAACACCTTGTTTTCACTGTCCTAATAACTGATCCTGAACAGTGGTTGGAAGGAGACACCAATCAAGCTGCTTTAACATGTGTGAATTTAAAAGTCTAATGCTAAATTCTTCTTGAAGTTTGTATTTAGTAAGAAATGACCAGATACAAGTTAATTTCAAACCATCCTTCCAACATGGTTATGGGGGACTCTCTTTCAAACATACACAGCTCACATCTTCTTCCCTTAGAAAGCCAGTTTTCTAAAAGATAATATCCTTTCTATGTATCTTTGAAGAGTCCCACCGAATTTAATCCATACAAAAATAATGGATGGTTAAAATACTATAGAAAAATAATCATTTTCGTTTACTTGATAAAGTTTATCCCTAGATGATGCTTGACAGGTGTAACATATTGTAACATATTGTTTTCTGACATAATGATATTCTTAAATCAGTCAATTTTCACCCTCCACACACTTTATCCTCAATGGAAGTACTGTATGCAAAGCATCATGAGGTCAGTGTCCATTATGATATATTTAAAATTCTTCAAGTTCTAAAAATGTGTCCATATGGTTCTCAACCAAAATGAAGGTTTGTATTAGTTTCAGTTCAAGTTCCATACTGCTAAGAATGACAGTTGTATTTTATATGAAATATTATGAATGCTGTTAGCCTGGCACTCATGAACAATCCTACAACCACAAAGTGTAGAGAAAAATATGGTCTGGTTGGAAATACTTGACTTTCAATAAGTCTATCTAACTGGTATTTAAAATAAAGTAAAAATAACTTGTTGATACTAGAAGCCTTTTAAACCAGTACTGATAATGCTGTGTTGGCTGCAGTGTAGTTTTACAATGCCAACTCTTACCAAGTATACTGCTTAGCTGGCTTAATATCGTAAACATAGTTAAATCACTGTTCTCTTTCCATACCAAATTTACTGTAGTGGTTTAGCAAAAAACCCCCAAAATTAAACTCTTCCACATGGATGACAATACCATTTGTGCTGGATTTGCAGCAGCCCTAAAGCCTTATTGGACATTACACTTTTGCAGAAACATGAAAACAATGGAAAATATTCAGCTTTTGCTTTTTTTAAGCCTTGGCACTGTCAGTGACTAGGAAATGTTACTATTTCTGATAGTAAACCTGTCAGGGACCGGGCTGGTATGTTCCTTATTATTACTTTATTATGGTTAAATAAATAGTGCATGTCTAGTCTAGTCTAAGACCAAATGTATCCTAGAAATTTTGCCAATATAAAGTAAACTGAAGAGGAAAGAGAGGGAGGGGAATTTGTTGTGGTATTTGCATACCATCTAACATCTTATAGTAGATGCACAAAACTATCTGAAAGGTCTAACCAGCCAATAAAAATATAGAAGAAGTCAACAGAAA